AGAAATCTCCTAAAGTATCCGGTTCAGGTTCATTTATCTTCCATATCCATTTTATATGAAAATCTATGCTTATATGCTATCATTTTATAAAATTTTATTAAAAAATTTTTAAAAATATCAGAAAAAACATAAAAAAATAAAAAAATTTTTTTAAAAAATAAAATAAAAATTAATTGTAACTCAGTATTACGATGAATTTCACTTTATCTCTATTAATATTATAATGATAGTATCATTCTATCATTTTTTTTTTTAAAATAAATGATAACAAATTAATAGTTTAACTTCTTCCTTAATTACAATATCAAATTTTTTTTTTGCTTAGATTAATTAAAATTGAGAATGAATAAATTTTGAGAAAAGGGAATGAAAAAAAGCGCAACAGATGATATACCAAAAGGTTTAGAAGATGAGGAATATTTCCATGGTTTATTACCACGTGAAGATTGCAATGAAATTTTGACTAAGGTTATATGTATTACAAGTAATACTTTTTAGGATATAATAAGAAAAGATAATTTAAGATAGAAATTCTCATTTCAATTATTCAATTAATTAATTAATTCCAATTGCACTTTTTTATACGAAAAAAAAGGTATTATTATTGAAATAATAATTTTGATATAGGTTGGAGATTTTCTTGTACGTGTATCACAGCCACGACCAACTGATCCACGTGAAGTAATTATATCAGTACGAGTATCAAAAGAGCAATCAGGACATTCAGTCTGTTTATATTTATGTAATTTTAAATGCTAAAAATAATTGTATGGGAAAATTATTTCAAAATATTTGTTAATTAAAATAAATTTTAAATATTATATTATAAAAGATATCATTTTATTTAATTTAGGGAATATTGTCATTTGTTTATTGTAAATTTATGTCATGTAATAGTTGAAAAGTAAAAATTTCCAAACGATTAAATTATATGATATTAAATAAAATTTAAAAAAAATTTAAATATTAAAAATTTAATTATTATATATCATCTTTATTTAATTTAGGGAATGTTATCATTTGATTCATTCTTGTAGATCCGTCATGTAATAGTGAAAAAGCAAAAACTTCCAAACGGTCAAATTGTATGGATTGCAATTGAAACAATTAAATTCATGTCATTCTTCGATTTAATTGAGCATTACGTGAAACGTGGCGATCCAATTAATCCTGAAGTTATAAATTTTTTCTTAAAAATAATAAAAATTAAAAAAAAGAAAAAACTGTAAAAAATTCCAATTGCTATTTGAACAAAAAATTTTTAAAAGAATTGATAAACTGATAAGTGAAATTAACACAGCTAAAATGATTGATTATAATTTGTATAAATTAATTACTCTAAAATATAATAAGTTATTACTTTAGTTAAAATTACAAGCAAAAATCAATTTTTTTTCATTCAAATAATTCCTTTTTTTCGTTTTTTTTTTTATTTTTTTAAATTAAACGTATT